TTTCTTACCATCTGTAGCCGCCTTTAGTCATCGATCTTGACCTTTCAAACACCTTAGAAATCAATCCCAACCCGATTTGACGCTTACCCTACACAATCCGTGTTATGTAAACGTTTGCGTCTGAAGAGAGTTTACCGAAAAGAATTATTAACCCTGAACTGATTTCTGGTCTTAATTCATTATTCGGGTCTCGAATACTTTACGTAACCGTTCGCTACAGGGTGAACCATTCATGAAAATGTTTTAATGCTACGCAACGGTCAGAGTTTAAGTACAAGTCCCTCATCTGGATTTGGGTTAGCCTCTACTTCTGATGTAGCAATCAAAACAAGTTCGTTATCTAAACCGCATCCATCTCCACAGTTCATTACTAAGGGCATTACCACACGGTCAGCGGCCGGTCAATTTACAACTCACTGCAACTCATAAATGTCGCGGTCGAAACAGTTGGAAGCAGAGATCGCGATGATCAACACAAGTTCCTCCAAAGCATCGAAAGAAGGCTATACGATCGCACAGTGGAAAATCCTATCGGATGAGTCCAAACGAGGACGAAACGGGTCGTGGGATGTTGATGTTAGGAGGAGCAACACCGAAACGCCTCCATTTCGGATACAGTCTTTGTGATCGGAATGACCGAGGTATCGATAGAGATAGTGTCGCAGTCCAACCACATTGCGGTTATTCGAAATTAAGTTTTAGATCCCCTACCACTGTGCCAAGCGTTACTCATGGATCTCAGTGACATAATGATCAAGTCGTCAGCCTCTAACCACTAGCCCCCGAGCTCCACCCCGGCACAGTCTAACTCCATCTAATGAGTCCAAAGGAGGACGAAACAGGTGAATGGGTCAGTGTTGGATGACTAACACCGAAACGGATCACACCTGTGTCGCTGGAATTGTGGTGAGTGGTGTCTTATCAGAAAATGTCCGTTCATCACTCACGCCGCCTACCACAAGTAAAGTCAGAAAGAAACATATTATTGATCGGTCGCATGATGTCCTTTTCGTAGGGACCAGTCTTGACGGCGCAGAATTAAATGGGTCAGACATCGTTTACACTGCTGAATAGGGAGGATCTCTTTTACATCGTAAGTTCCTCAGCGCCACAATAATCACTCAGTGTGTCTGCAGTTGGATACTGCATCTAGCATCACCATCATCTCTAGACCAACATGGTGGGCGATCGACAGACAGATACTACGTAATGCGGACAAGATTACAGGAATTGCGTCCAAAAGCACGTTACAAAAATTCATGAAAAATGCTCCCGGGAATAAGTATAAAAAATGGTGTACGACGTGATATCTATCAAGTTTTGGACAACCAGGGATCAAACATATCTGGCATAAATTGGATTATCGCGTTGTACCTGTGGAGTGTTCACCTCGAGTGCGGGCGCGACCCAACCGATAAAAGTTTTGCGGGTCAAGACACGTAACTACAATGAATCGCAGCGCAGAACCCATTTGTTGCGTTGGTTGGGGTAACATGGAAATGTCTTTCTCTTATGGGGTATATTTCCGCAATACCACAGGCATCACAAAGGCCTCCGGGAAGCACAACTGGATGTTCAACGAAAATGATATACGGTAACGCTACTGTAGTTCTGCATTTCGCTTCAAACTTGTGCTAGAAAGATAGTGCACCGCTCTGCGATATCCACATTTATTAAAGTTGAGATTTAGCCAGGCGGTCAATTGCCGGTCTTAGCGGCATCAGACCACACAATATGCCTGGGGTTCAACCCATCTGCCATGCATTCACTGCATCTTCGAGGTGCTGTTGCAACCAGCGAGCTGATATGCTATATGGTCACTGCATCACCAAATACTCATACAAAGTGATCGACAGATCCCCTTCTTGGGTTAACTGCATCGTTTCCGGCGTTCAAATCATTGAATAAGTTACCGTGCAAACTGGGGGCTCGTGTCTTTCACATAGGTGACGCGACACCATCTGATCGTTTAACATCGGCGTACGGATAGAAGTCACGGATGCATCATGCTGGTAGTGCTCGCGTAGCTTCGCTCATACCCAGTGGCTGAGTAGTATGGAGATCCGCCAATTGGTAGTTTATGCCAAGCCTACCGGCGCTGCTGTACGGGATCATTCGAACTCGAGCTATCCGCGTTAGTTACGTTACCGTTTTCGGTTGCCCGTTGGTGGTCAATGAGCGCGATCTGTGATGTTGAGCAATAAGGTGCACAAGTTATGGGACCACAAATGGTTGCCTGACGACATGGTGAAACACCACAAAGAAATTGGCTAAATAAACTGGCTAGGCCTGTGTATGTCTTCTGGGGTCACGTATGTGACCGAAGTCCGATCCGGCGAAGCCCGGAAGAGACAGTGGTGTTCTTATATTCGGGCCGTTGTCATTACTCGCAAAGAATCCTAGCTAATGATAACATCTTTTTTATGTTGCATCTCCAAGTAATTGAGTTGCCTGCCCATTTTCCCCTTTAAGTGACATTTTCTTGACAATCAGAATGGCGGAAACTGGATCCAGTGCAATCCAACGCCAAAGTAATGGTTGGCTGGTTAAAACAAACCGAGGCTTTGTGAGGCAGCTGTTCGGGGTCCGGTTATTTAAGTCCCATGTGCACTTTAGATATGAAAGCTCGCCATCTTCACTTGCTTGCATCACAGTATGCGGCTAAATCAACGAGCGTGGCGGTTTGATGCTCAAGGCCGAGTGCAGTCGTCAAGCGGACGATGAGCGCAACTGTGGTCAGAATCATCCGACAAGCAGATGAAGTTCAGAAGCTATAACACCTGCCAGATTGTGGGGGCCGAGACTAGACACAATACAAATGATTGGATTACTCGCCTCCCCTTCGTGGGTAGGCAAAATAAATATATCCCCGGGGCTCAACAATCATCAGGTGAACCCCGACACGGAAATGGTAATTGGACAAATGTTGCACAGCTGGGTGAGGTTGCGTGCGGTGGGAAAGCCATAGAGTTGCGTGACAAAAGTGGTCATTATCGATGAGCGAATAGTAACCAGGAATGTGGGCGCCAGGGTAACGAGCAGTTGAATAACATGGACTTGAACATGTTAGTATCGTTGTGCTAACTAGTCCTTAAATATCAAAAGACAGCTGCCTCAGATATGCTAATTTAGCCTAGTGATTGACAAGGTGTAATGTAAATACTCTTACGTAGGATAAACAGCACTAATTATGGTACTGGCTGGGGATATCGACAGTCGTCCGTTCACTAGTGTGTTGCTAACAATCTGGTTCTGCGCCTCAGAACACATCTGCGGATAAATGGAAAGGGGAAACGAACCCACTGTGTGTGTGACCACGGTTGTTTCTCTCCTTTTAGATTTATTACAGACATAGAGGTTATGCTGTTCATAACAGAGACGACATAGTGAAGCCAAAGGTGGAGAGTTGAGAGGAGAGCATCCACGATAAAATCGAAACCCACCAATGGCACTGCAATGCGTGCCGTGACCAGTGCGTGACCCGCCGAGGTTCATTTTCTGCGTAATCGAACTCGATAACTGAGGATGTACATGGAAATAAGGTCATCTCTTCCAATATGGCTTTGGTGTAGCAACAAAATGCCCGAGGTGCCATATCAAACGCATCGCGGGTACAAATAATGAGTATTGATGCCATAAACGCATCGGTATGTTCTCCGAGATGGTTGGTGATGCATAGACAGGGGCCACCGAACTATCTGGTAAATCCGACCTTAAGGAGTGGCTGCAGCCGGTGGTCCAACCTTTACAGGCTCGTGGATGGGCTTAACACGCAACAGCAAGCACCGTTATTATCGCTTAGCAATGACAAACGTTACCAGAGGAGAAACTGGCTTCCACTCAGTGGTCTTGAGAATTTGTGACTATAGGTGGTCTGTTAATGCATGCCTCATGTAAGTGACTAGTATGGACCCAAATAAAAGATGCTCGAAGTACACACCCTTGCCTCTGAGCTGTCAATTCCATCCCTGTCCCCGGGAGGAGGGGCAGCACCGGGCTGGCAGCATGCAACCGGAGGGGAGTAAGATGAGTCGTGTATCGATCCCCGAGCGATGCATGCAAAACGGGGAAGAGAAAAAGCGGGGAAGGGACAACCAAATGTGGTCAAAGTGTGATAATATAAAACCAGAAGGGGAAATCAATAAGCTTCACATGACACTCAGTTGCTATGGTTCAAACTAGCACGAGTAGTGTGGCTAACTCTAAACAGCGTGTGTGTGTGCATGCGACAATGCCGTAGTAAAGACGGAGTGAAATCAAGTGGGAGCATGTGGAACAGAAGAGACACAGGCGGAGTGGCCCGCGTAGAAAGCTCCAATAAATGAGGTTATCTCCACCAGTTGGATGATAATGATGATGAAATCTGTTTCATGGGAAAGCACAGAGTGAGGATCAGCGACTAGGAGCAGCAGGCAAAGCATAGTGGTTGGTAGCAATTGGGAGCGAAATTAACAGTACCGGTCATCGACTCAAAGCACAGACAATGAGTTCGAAAAGCGGAAGGTAGAGGGGCGACTGGCTGGAGAAAACAATTCCGTGTCCGGTGAGTTTCTGTGAATTAAGAGAAAGAACGGAGAGTGAATCTTCCTCACGTAATGATGAGACAAATGAGTGGGCGAAAGGAGATGAGGACGCGAGGAGTAGAAGCAACCGAAATATCGAAAAGGACAGTCTGATCTTCCTTCCACTTGGATGGTTGGGTAGAGCGGTATGTACACGGACAAATGAGGAGACGATGCTCGATGAGAAGGCAACAGGATTGAAGCGGAACCGGATGGAATGAATGGCACAGCGTAAGAACTCCATCAGAGTAGGGTAGAAAAATAGTCAGTATGACAGAATGGAGATGACTGGACGACGGCACTACAGTCGATACAAGTGAGTAAGCAGCCAGCGATCGCCAACATGCCAACAAGATAAGTCAAACAGAGGTTATAGCATTAAAAGAAGCCACCTCGACAAGTCAATATCAGAAGAGTTCTGCTCGACGTTTGAGGTCATTACGTTTCCATTCCGGGAGGCGGTAAAAAGCGGCCGGTGATAGATGGAATACGCTCTGGAACTCTTCCTCGGATAAGTGAGCCTGTAACATAAGTTAAAAGAAAACGGGTTCACAAAGCACCTCACATTGAGTGAGCGAATAACGCGTCGGAAATATGGGAAACCACACGCATAGTAGGGAGTGGAAGATAAGAAAATTGAACGTGAAACGGAAATGGTGCATCAGGGTCCTCTACTCAATGTGAAGTGATTGTGTCAGTGAAAAACCTCAAACCTGAAGTACTGGAAGATGGCCCATTGTTTTCAGCCATTCAGCATAGGGCAATACAATGGTTCAATGCGCAGACGTATGGTTAAAATGACACTGCTGGTAGTTCTTACTCTCAATTAAATAGTATTATTAGTAGTGGTAGCGGTAGTAGCAGTAGTAGTAGTAGTAGTAGTTGTTGTTGTTGTTGTCGCCGTCGTCGTACGTTATGCGCTACGAAATCACAGCAGAGAAGAGATTATATCACCGAAACCGGATGGGGCTGAGACCTCTGTCACGTGATACAAAGAAGTGAAGGATAAGAATGCCTCATTAGTGCGAGTGCAAGTGATGAAAATGGCAACATACTGCAGCACAATTAAGGGAACTTACGGTAGTAACCAAGGCAGGAGAACCAGAAACGGATGTGGTGGTACTTGAACTTCGAAAGGACCACACAAACAGGTGATCTCTGGAACACTAAGCAGTTATCATCGATATGCTGTTCTAGGGTGGAAGCAATAAACGACCAACGCCGATGAAAACTACACCACCTCCGGGGCACTGGCAAATGAGACTGGTAGCAGAGGACGAACAGAACTTGGCATTTTGGATCCAGATGCTGGGATGGTGTCGAGCGGAATGGACAGCCAATCACAGACCGCGTTAACAAGGAAACATCAGTAGTAGCTTGGTACCAGTTTTGTTATTGGAGGTTTGCACAACTATATTTGGGCTCTACTCAAATGGACTGAAAACAAACTAAGAGAATATTCAGCGCACCCTAAGAAATCGATGTCAATTTAATTCAAACTATTGAGTTACTATGTAGTAAGGAAATGTACTGTATGATGACGAAGTATTGACCGGTTTTGAATGATCGATTCGTCTTAAGAGATGGGTGTGTTGAAGTGGTAATCCTTAGATTTTCAGCAGTAGAATGCATCGGAGTCGTCATCTACCCAGCACACCGGTGGCCTAAACGCGATAGAACAAGCGTCTAACCAATACTCGTTGGTGTTATCTGTTAAGCGATCTGAGTAAGCCGGGAATAATCCACCGCACAAACACTCCGAGATATGTGTCTGCGTTTTGTTTCTGTTCTATTCTCCACTTAAATTGGAAGTAATGCTCATAACCGCATGATGTTTCCAATGCGCGTTCCACTTTGCAGTGAGAGCGGACAAATGTTGTCTGGTCTGATACTGTCTGTGCGTCCCTATTGGGAATACATCAGACAAGACGAAAGACTTAATCACTTAAGTGGTG